CAAGAGGCCGATAGAGGCTGAACCAGGCCGCTAAGGGGCCAGCCAACCCCATTTCTGACATCCTCCCTCCCCGCCCCAGGCCAGATGGCAGAGCCAAGTCTTCAAATCCCTCTGAAAGGCCTGGAGTGAGGGGCCCTGTCTCACCTCTGGGGGCAAGATGTTTGGTTTTTGTACTCTTTTTATTATTATAAGCCAAAAGTCATCATGGAGTTGGGCAACCTTATAAATTTAAATAAATAGATAAAAAATAAACATGTTAGACCATGGGCCAGGGAGGGCTTATGGAGGTATCTTAGGCTCTGTTTTCTCCAGCAGCCAAAGCATAAGGGTGCCAGATTGGAGGGGGTAGGACAGTTCTGTAGCTGGAGCCCTGCAGTTCACCAGCCTCCTTCAGGTCCCTCCTCCATGCAACACAGATGCATTGAAGTTTTTGTTCCACTTCATCCTGGAAAACACTACTTTCCTGCTGGATCTCTTTGTTCCAGCTTCTGGTTCTGAGATGGAGACTCTGTTGTTTGAATATGTCTTCCTCAAATAGTAAGCAGCCCATCTTAGAGCTGGGGCAAGGAGGGTACATGGATGACACACAAATTTAATAAGTAGCCACATCTATGGAAGCCTTTGTGCTAATTTAACCTCTGAAGTCATCAATTGGTGCAAATAAAATGAAAGTAGCTTGTCTGAAAAAGATTCCACAAGCAAAACCAACAGATCCATTACAACATTACTTCAGACAATTGGTACTGAAGAAACGGGCTGCCTGAAAGATCAAAATGCACAACAATGACCTCTTGTTCGAAATTCAGGAAAATAGATACACCAAAGTCCATAATGTTGGGAAAGGGAAAAGGAAAGAGAAGAAGAGGACGACCAGCAGCAAGGTGGATGGACTCAGTTACAGTGGCAATGGGTATGCTATTGGAACACCTGAAAGACCAGGTTGGGGACTGATCCTCCTAGAAAAAAATCTATCCTGATGCCACGTAATCAATCAAAACATGCAACATATAATGCAGGCAAAGATAATCCACTTCTTCAACTGTCCTAAGTAGCTGGGTTTTTATATTCATTATCTTGCTCAGAATGCAAGTCTACATTCATTTCCCTTACCTGCTTCTCATCTCAACACTCACCTGGGTGCGGCGTTCTTCATGTCTGTGTTGCATCTCCACTGGGTCTTCCCAAGGCTTCCCAAAAGCATCCAGGGCAGGAGGCTCCCAGCCACTGCAGAAGATTAGGTTGTAGGGACCTGCATAGTCCCTGGGGAAACCCACTCTTGATGGACAAAGCAAATAACAGGAATAAAATGAAATATGAATTGGAAGAAAAGAGCCAAAGTCATAAAATTTTTCATCACTGCAAGTTAACTAAACCACTCAGGCAACTGGCATCAACCAATCTACAAGAAGCCCACCACATTGTGTCATAAATGAGTTGGTCTAATCCACCAGAATGTTCTCAACATCTTTGAGAAGATTTTGGCATTCATATTCCAAACTTTCCAATCACTTGTTCAGTAATTGGTTGCTGGGTCCAGATCATCTGTGACATCACTTCAGTTGAGAGGCAGAGGGGGCTATTTCACCAAAATTAAATAACCCAGAGCCTCATGAAAGGGAGGGAAAACAAGGAAACCTGTAGTATTTAGAAGGTTGCACAAGAAAGAAGGGGAAGTGAAAGGATTAATCCACATTCCATGAAAAAAATTAAGAAGGCAAAGATAACAACAAGGGAAAACAAACCCTAATCCCCTTACCTTGGCTTAGTCCAGTTATCCCCCAGAGAGTGCCACAGTTCTGTTTCCTGTTCCCCCAAGCAGCCCCGCATCAGAGTCACTGCCTCTAGAGTCATCATGGGACTGCGCAATCCAGAAGCAAATGCCACCCCTCCAGAAGCCTCCACGATCTGAAATGGGATATGAGAATCAGAATCCAGACCATCTGTTTTCCTGGAGGCCCCATCTTTTCCCAGGGAAATTTATAAATACACTCATCTTGGAATCATTGATACATGCAGCAGAACCACGTGACACAGTTTTTCACGGATTACATTACACAGCTCTGCAAGTAATGAAACTGAAGCACAAAGTATTTTATTAAAAAGAGAAGTCCTTGGGTTCAGAAATCAAGCAAGTGTCTACATGCCCCAACCTTCTAACACAAGTCAAGGGGAAGTGTCCTGTATTAGCCTTCTTATTTTTTGCTGTGCAGGAATTCTCCCCTACTCCTATGGATTACAGTTTCACATTTGCCACCTAAATAATATAGCCCCTCAACCACAATTCCATATAATTCTACTGCTTCTACAATCCCTTTGTCGATCTACAAATCCATTGTTTCCCAATCTTGGCTACTCCCAGAATTCTAAGTGATGTCCATGTAGGTTGGAGAATTCTGGAAGTTGAAGTGCATACATTTGGGAGTTGCAAGATTGAGAAACACACTACTACTAATTCAGCTACCTGATACCACATCTCCTCCTCTTCTTTAATTCAGCACTTACCATCTTCAAGGGTTTGAAAAGAATACATATTAGCTCCTCTGAAGTAGGGCAACTGATGTTAGGTTTCAGTCTTGCCTGGGTGGTGGAAAAGAAAGTATAATTTAGTTGTAAGCATAAACCAACGAGACACCTTCCATTTCCTTGGGAGAAAAAAAAAATACACAGAACTCACCAGAAGGCTAAAGGAATATTTGATCTTGCACAGAGTGTCTTCAAACTCCTCTTGGGATGGGGGTTTTGCTCTGATTGTTAAGAGTCCCTCTACGGATGTGGTAAAGAAAGAAGCAATGAAACTTTTCCTGCCCCTGTTGTTTGGGGCTGATGAACTCCCACCACCAAGTCTCAAATCCTTTTTTTTTTTGGGATTGAGAAGATCAGGATCCATGGTTCTAGAGATCTTCTCCACAGAGCAGCTCAACCATACCGATGCAGTAATAACTGTCCATTATAGCAGTCTAATTATGTTTATAGGCCTTGGATCCGTCCTCCAGTGGCTCTAAAATCTTATTGTCAGAGAAGCTCATTTGATTTGTGCAAAAAGAATAATGCCAGTAGAGGAGGCATTTCTGAAGTTGACAGGAGGCCCATTTCAGAAGCCTATTATGGTAGGGAAAAGTTTCAAAGCCATAGTGGAATGTTGTGGATTCTGATAAATTCTAGAATCATTCTGGAAATGGAAATTGAACTCACAGAAAGATTCTGATTGGGACAGACTTTAGAAGCATTTCATGTTTCTCTAGCAGCCTTCTGCATTTCCTAGCCAACGGTCTCACCTCCTGGTTCTCGATGACGCCCTCTCGGGGAGCGCCTGCGTTGATCCAGGACACGGAAAGCTTCGGCACATTTCTGCAGCTTTCCCACAAAGACTTCCACATCATCAAAAATCCGGTTCAGCAGTTCCTGCCACAGGCACACAGGCCATCAGGAGAAAGAACAGGGGTTTTTTTGTACTGTGCAAGGAACAAGTGACATGAGAACATGGCTTTTCTGAAGGGTCTTTGGGAAATGATGTGAATTTGGCCCTTCCTGGAGTAGGGGCACTTGCTGGTTGCTGTACTGTGATTGCTAGTCTCATTGTTACAGCACATTATGTTTTGAAACCTGTTACTGTATACTAGAGAGTCATTTCGAATTGGAGTGGCCTATAAGCCCCAGTAAAGAAAAACAGATAAATAATTTTGCAATACAGACTACGGTGAAATTCTTTACATATAATTTCAGAAGTAAGGCTATGTTATTCTGTGAAACTCTTCAGATTTAAGCAAACTCAGATCTGGGGGATGGGTGATTCATTTACTCTGTGTTTACGAAAAGACAATCCTCAGATACACGGGCAATGTTCTGGTTGGTTTTTCTTCTTGTTGTCGTTGTTCCTGCCGTTACAAGAGCCTAACTAAGAAGGAAGGAGAAGGAGAAGCTAGATCTGAATGGAATTTAGAATGGCCCTCGCCAACAGGTGATCGGTGCTAGGACTGTTAAAGCTAAGGATACAAATTCCCCAAATAAGGAGGCTAAGAGAAGTGGGGATTGGCCATAGCTTGGAAAATCCAGCTTCAAACAAAGAGATGCATGACCAAGCGACAGAGGGTGGAACTCATCTCAGACTATGCACTTAATGTCTACTTTTGTTTCGTTTGTAAAGAGATGATTATCCTTTTCCCCTGAAAATAACAGCCCGTGAAATTAACAAAAATGCTAATGTATTGATATGTCATACTCTTCCCCCACTCTCCAAGCAAATCTTAGGTCTCCTTGGATGTTCTCAGCCTCTCCAAAGCTGGGCTACTTCACAGGATTGTTGTAAGGAGGAAATGGAAGGGAACTTAAAGGCTTGTATGCTCCTGTAGGCTATTATGGCTGGTCCTAGTGAAGATGCCAATTACCCAGCTGTGGATAGTTGAAGAAGCTGCCACAGCAGACTACTTCAATAGCACACTAGCACCTTTCCCCAACTTTCTTCTTGAAATATGTAATGCTTAAGCAATACCATCCCTGATATATTGGATCAAAGGTATTCTATAGGGTTAAAAATACGGCCTGGTATATCAACGGTGTTGAGTGTGTCAGAGAAGAAAGGGCTTTAGTCCTCCAGGGAATGTGCAAATGTGGCCCAAGAGAAAGCTTTGAACCTGGCCCCGACAGACATTTGCTTTTACCCATCCATCTCTGCCTCCCCATCCCCTGCCCCAAATCTCATTTATACTGAAACAAAAAGCAATGGATTTTCCCATTTAACTCACCACTTCTTGCTCTATACGGATGAGGGCCGGATCAAGGTCTCCTGGAAAGATGACTGGAAAGAGGGAAAAAATGAAGAGTTTAGGACACTAGTGCGAGGCTGTGACCCAAAGAAGATGGCTCAGTCTCGAAGAACCTGGTGGCAGGAAAAAAAGATGCAGCTGTGGCTTCTTCTGTTCCTCTGTTGCTGGACAACCATATGGGGATATGAGGAACCTCACTCGCCTTGTCTTGGGTCTCTGATGACTAGGCTATATAGCAGTGCTATGGTGATGAGCCTGAAGAATGAGGCCAACATTTCTGGCTCTTGGGGGGGGGGGCGATTATTTTTAAAGCAAAATATCTTGCACATCATGCTTATGTTAGTCAGAGAAAAGAAGAAAGTCAGACAAATTGCAATGGGACCCGAGGAAGAGTTAGACAGGCTTATTTGTGGCTGAAGAGCTCTTGATGGGAAAGATTCCTGGGTTGTTCCCTGCAACTCAAGCAGAAAGTGAGATATACAGAGATGCAACATGACTTCTTGCAAACTTTCCTAGAAGGAGGCCCCACTAAAATCAACTCATATATGAAGCTAGGAAACTCCTTTGTGCTATGTCAGAACCATAGTGTCTCTTCTAAGCAGCATTGACCTTTTGGGGCAAAATCCACTCAACTGGAAATGCCCGAAAGTGGCCTTAAAGACCTTCTGCACGGACAGCATATGTTTTACCAAAGAGTTATAATTCTTCTCCAAATGTCCTCCTCTATAAAAGGTTGTGAGGCTTAGTCTCCAAGGTTCTTACCATCCTCTCTTTGCTCTGGTGCAATGATCTTTGTCCTAGAAGGAACCTGCCTGGGAGGCTGAAAGAGGATCTCGTGAGCCTTTTCAGCCTGGTTACCAAGCATGCTTTGGGCAGCTCTGTAAGTGAGAAACATAGAAAGAGTTGGGGATCAAAAGGGAAGGACTGGTACCCCATTGGACAATGGAACCTCCTTCCTATCCTACTTTTGGTCTATATAATCTTCCAGGCTGGAGGCAAGCAATATTCTGTTGGCTGAGGATCAAGCATAATGTGTTGAAGGGAGCTGAGGAACACAGGGAGTGGGGCAATATTGCAACATGGATCAGACTATGTAAGTAGGGGTGGGATTTTTTTCCCCCTAGATCTTGAGTGGGGGTCTTTGTATTCAAGTTCTTCTTGATCAAAACAGTGGGCAACCAATCCGTTGTTTGGGGGAACAGTGCTCAAAAGTAATTCTGGGGTCACATTCAGCTCTAGGGGGACAAGTTGACTTCTGATTTATATCATGTTCCACACCATTCAGACAGCAACATAAGAATCCTCTCTCCTGCAATTCCAGGAAGATAAGTTAATGTTTTTCCAAATCAATGCATTTCCATGTCTTCTACAGCAGCCTGTCAGTCAGAAATGTAGCAAATGAAGCTTTTCTTGGCACAAAGGTAACATGATAAAATATCCTGAGTTTGTTTATCTCAAACTCTGCAATGGCAAGCTGCTGTAAAAAGAAAAAAGGCAAGGCTAGTCCAGGTAGCTAGCCAATCCTACCCCAGGAGGAAACACAAAGTCACAAACCCACCCAAGTGGGTTTAAGAAGCATCAGCTTCTGGCTTTGGACTTTGGTAAACTGGCATGAAAAGGGGCAGTTTTCAGCAGAGGCGTAGTACGTGAATGTCGCTTAATCCTCTCCGAGTCCAAGTTGTATGGCGGAGATGGTGGGGGGCAGACTTGTAGAGGAGCTGCAGCTCCAGAAAGAAATCTACATTGGAAAAGCAGCTGGCAAGGAAAATGTTACAGGGCCTCCACCCACCCACACTGTTCTGCTGAGAATCAACTTTTCTTGCAGCAGTTTCTTGAAGAAATCCACAGACTTGACTTGCTGTTTATGAGTAATGTGAACTTTAGCCCTCGTAACCCTTTGAAGCCATCCCATCACAGACATGGGTCTTCGGCTATGCACGTACCTTAAGGCTTCTTTACGCTGGGCGTTTCCTCCTGACTTGAAATCCAGCAGAGCACTATTAATGTCTTGCCGGATCCATTCTGCCTGCAAAGTAGGGGAGAAATCAGATCAAAATCTTGTTGAGAACTCTCCCCCTGTCCCAAATCTGTCCCAAATCCCCATGTTTTAGATCAGGGCCAGGCAAGCTTAGGATTCTGGACTGTATATGGGACCAGTTTACAACCCTCAGACCCCTCCAAACGCAATTGTCAAACATCAGAAGTAGAATGTCCTGCCATTTTGTGGAAGAAAACAGTTGAAAACTGTAATGGATGCTCAAAATCAACATAGTTATTTTCTTTAGCATCTCCCTTGTGTGTGGCATGGCCCCACCCACTATGAACTTTGTCTTTCCATTAAAATGTTAAGTTCAGCTCCTGACCCTGAATAGTTGCCATCCGTGCGTCAAGTAAATTTTCTGCAGCTAGCAGAATTTAGTAATTACAAAGGATCATTCTCCAAACATTTTTTATGGATCTATAGGCTCAATTTTTTTACCTCAATTTGAACACTCTCAAAGAAGTGGATATCTGGTTTGAGCTGAGTAGGTTCCTGGCACATGAGTAGAAGCAAGGATCGGGACCGGGACTCAGGTCGGACAGCCTCACAACGAGCCACTGCTGCCAATCCATAATTCTCCAGTTCCTCCTATGAGGGGAGAGAAAGTAAATCATTAATATGGACATTAATATAGACTCTTTCCAAAGAAGAGGAATTGGGACATAGGTAACACCCAACCTTCCCCTAAATCTTTATTAGCCACCCAACATTGCTACTCTTGGTAAGTTTCTGCACCTCTGAATTTATGTCAAGGAGCTTGATAGCTGACCCGTTGACCTGAAGCAACATCTCCTGAACCCAGATCTTCCCTTGCCTATCCATGATGCACAGTTTCCTGACAGCATCCTCCACAGATGTCAAATTGTCCTCTTCCCCAATGGAGAAGGTCACCAGATGCTGGAGTATAAAGACATGAGAGAGACACAAGCAGATCCATCATATGCCATTAATGTCATTACCCATCTATTTCATCAGCTTCCATATGGTCCAGGGAACTTCAACATCTTACCAAGACCAAGATGTAAATAATAGTGCTGTACAGTGCTTTGGATTCTATCTCTAGAAGGTGCACATGGGAGTGCAAATGTGACACCTGTTTGAAACATCTCAATGCAGCCTATTGCTCTGAAAAGATAGAACGTTCATGAACCCATGTGCTCCAAACAACCTTTGAAGACTGAAGAAGTGTACAACCTTAGATGCTTACGGTAGATACTGGCTAAATGGCAACTCAATTATCATTATTAATCTTGCTTCAAATGTGCTCCTGCACATCTGGCCCCAACTTTGTTTTACTTTAGACCTGGGAAGACAATTTCCTTTGTTCTGGTCTTCCAGTGTGAAACATAGACCAACTCATTAAGTTCTCACTTGGGTATTTTTCTGCTTCCTTTCATTTTCCTTCCCCTTTCCCCCATCAACATGCTATGGTTCCACTGGGTTTACAGTATTCATTACTTTAGTATCTGACCTAGATTTTACATTGACATAAAGGGAAGGAAGGTATCTGAGTTTCAAGATCTAGTTGGTTTCAATACTACAGAAGAGTAAGGTGTGGCTGGGTCCAAGCAGTGGTAAATTCATTCCTGAGTGAGGGGGTGGTTCCACATACCTTGAAGGAGGCAATGGCACATCCCCTCCTCAAGAAGCCATCCCTGGACTCAGCAGCATTAGATAATTTTCAACTGGTCCTACTTGATCTCTCAGTGACCTTGGGAATTAAGCGTTACTATGCTATAGCAGTTCTCCTTTCTCTAGAGTTGGTTCCAGGTAGTATTGGTGGAGTCAGGAGAGTCTGAAGCCGAGGCCCTTACTTTGCAGGGTTCCTCAAGACTTGACTCTCTTGCTACTTGGATTCAACATCTACGTAAGGCTGTTGGTCAATATCATCCAGTGGCATGGGGTCAGGTGTCATCAATATGTGGATGATGCCCAGTTGTATACCTCGACTCCTAGATGAACAGGTGGTGCCAAAAAGACCTTGTCCTGGTGCACAGAGGCTGTTAGGGTGTGGATGGGGAGGAACAGGCTCAGTTGCAACCCTTGCAAGGGCCGAGCAATTGTGGATTCAAGGACCTTTCAGTTCCAAGGATCTTCCAACTTCAGTTCTTGATAAGGTTGCATCTCCTTAGGTGAAACTCATGCATAATTTGTGGGTCCTTTTCAATTGACAGGAGGAAGTGGCAGCCAGGAGTGTTTGCATAGATTCATCTTGATCAGGAGGCCCTCCTCACAGTCACTCATGCCTTCGTTACCTCTTGTTTGGATGACTGCAATGCACTCTACATGGGACTGCACTTGAAGACTTCTTGGAAGCTATAGCTGGTCAGAATCCAGCCATGTGGGTTGCTATGTATGCACCTCATTTTACCCATGGGATACCTCTGTTTCATTTAATATGGTTCCCATCATTTAAAAAAACCCCAAATCTTACCCTTATGAATTGTTAGTAAATTAGTAGGATTAAAACCTGAAGTTATTTTTTAACTCATATTCCTCCAGAGAAGGATTTCTTATCAAGGAGATGAATAGGTCAAACATATATAAGGGGCAATTCTATATCTGCTAGGATTGTAGTACCTCAATTATTATTTTTTATTCACAGTAGAATATAGAATAATCAATTCAAAAGGATTTTTTTAATACTAGTGATTAAAGGTGAAATAAAAGGTTAGCACTGATTAATTTCCCATTGGATATCACCCAGAGATCTCAATACACATAAAAATTATTCAGGAGGAATTCTAGCAGCTAATATACACTAACCAAGAAGCAGTCCTCCACAGATCACCTCCCATACAGTACTTTGATTCCTGCACCTTCTAAATCCCAATTCTCTCTTCACTACACTTTAACACAAGCTAAACTCAAAAACTCGAAGAAAGACCTACATGGACAGCATACTGGGACACATCTGCCATGATGACGTTGGAATACTTCTTCCTTTGTTCTGTAGAAAGAAATTTTAAAAAAATTATTCCTCATAGAGGAGGAACTCATTTGAAATGCTGGCTTGAAACACAAAATAAGCATAGAAATGTTAGTGTCATTTCTGTCTCATTCTAATGTGGACATGTTTAAAGAGCACTGAAGATTACATATTAAACCCTTTCCTTTGGATAAAGAAGGTCGCCCTGTGGGAGTGCTGACAGTCCAACCTGGAGCAGCAGATGGCAGTCTGAGTGAATGGGATGGTGGCCCACATTCACCCTTTTCCCCATGGCGTGATCTTTTGACAAGATGGAATACACCAGTGTTTCTTAACCGTGGCAACTTTAAGATGAGTGGACTTCAACTCCCAGAATTCCGCAGCCAGCATGGCTGGCTGGGGAATTCTGGGAGTTGGTCCACAATCTTCAAGTGGCCAAGGTTGAGAAACACTGGAATACATACAACAAGGGAACTGTGTCTTTTAAAAAACTTTTCCCTTAATCTGCAGGAGGTCTGGAGGGATCTGAATTAGTTGGTTAAGTGTTTGACAAGCAGACACTAAAGAAATTCAGCACAATCATGTTTTTAATAGAGAAAAGGATAGAAATATGCCTGAACATAAACAATGGCTTGCTTATACCTACTCCTAAGCTATAATGTGGCTTCTTTGGCTCAGCATATGTGCAAACCCACTCATTATAGCTTAGGGTTATGTGCAGACCATGCCCCATAGCTTCTTCAAGAAACCACTGGTTTCTTAAAAGAAAACTGATGTGATGTGTGAACTGCAGGCAGCATCAGCTGATACTAATCTAGTATTTCCCAGATATAGCCATGATGGCTGGGGATGATGGAAATTGTAGCCTCACATATATAGAAGGCATCAAGATCAGTACATAATACGTATTGCAGCATAAAATCATGTTTATAGACACATATTATAGCCTGAGTCCCCAGTTCCATTCCTCCAGATGCCAAAATTCCCACAGGTCTGACTCTTGCATGTTCTAGGTTCCACACTCTACTGATGTTACATTTTGGATTTTTAAAATTAAAAATAAATCAATGGACCTCACATAGGTCCCAAAGACATTCTTATAAAAATATGATGGATTCCATGGTCTAATCCTTTGTACAGAAATGGCCCCACCAAAAACATCAAGGCAAAGTGAGAAAGGAGTCCTGACCAGGGAGACTGGAAGAGATGTTGGAACAGCCTCATCAGCTTTTCCAACTAGTAAATAGGTGTTCATAACTTCGTGAGAATGCCTGTGTCTTGCTCACCAAAGTCCAGATCTGCCCACAGGCTCAGAAAGTTAGGGAATATGTATAACAAACTAATACTAAATGTCGCAGACCCTGAGAAACTGATTTGCATTTTATATACAGCACTTTTCAGGCAATTACCAGGGTTTGTTTTAAAAACAAAAAATAATAGTCACCATATTGAACAGAGCAAGGGAAAGATAGGAGGGATAAGCCTAAATATAAATGAAAGGTGATACTGGAGCAAAATAAAATACAATAATAATAAAAATTAAACCAGAAGCTTGAAGGCGACAAGGAGAGAAAGGAATATTAAATTAGACCTACACAACCTGGGCTGCAGAAATCTGTATCTCTTCGTTGTCATCTGGATTTCTGCAGCCCAGAACTGGTAGCCCTACATAAGATAACATGTTTGGAGCCAGAGGAGGGATGGCAGGTGTGAAGCATGGTAGCAGGAGATGGGCATTGTGGTTGATGAGACCAGAGAACTGTAAGTTGCTAAGGATGGAGGAGCTGCAAGACCAAGCAGCTTTCAGTTCAACTTTCATCCCAACACAAAGAAATCTTCTTGGTATGTCCCCATGCTCCCAAACTCACCATAGATGGCTCTGGCATTGGGTTTGCGAATGTCACCGAATATGCTGGGAGACAAAACACACATGTCAGATGACAACCTAAGCTTCTCCAGCCCAAATTTCTTGCCTTCTTCTCAAACTTTGCTAGGCATCCAGGCTCCCTGAGAATCCCAGAGGCTGATTAGCCCTGTCCTTTGCAGTATTTCAACAAAATCCATAATTTATCCCAAAAAGCAATGCTAAAATGAGTGCTAATTGATGCTACTTAACCCTCATTGGGCACCCAGGCAAAGTTACACCCGTCCATCCTGATGGTTTTTGCCACAACCAGCAGCCCTCAAACCCTAACTTCAGACTTCCATTTGACCAATAGCCCCAATGACACACACCCATTTATCAATGCAGAAAGGAGGAAGAAATAGTGGTGGTTGTGTCACTAGACTTGCCAAGAGGCTACTGGAATGAGAGCAGAGCACTGACCCTTGGCCTGCTCTGATCTGAGTTAGTGGCCATTCCTTAGGTAGTTTGTTATGATGATCAAAAACTGCATTGCAGCAAGATGGACAGGTGATGGCAGGGACTGACCAAGGGGCAATGAAGATGCTAATGAAGATTACAGCAATTGTTTTCAATCCTGCTAACATCTCAGCAGAAATGTGGGTTGCCAGAGTGGCTTAAATTTCTAACAAGGAAAGTTATCTTGGATTCTTGAGGGATATCCTACAGCTTTGCATTACCTTAGAGAGGTGAGTACCTGGGAAGCCCTGCTCAGGTTCTGGGGAAAAGAGTAGAGAAGATCTTAATAAAACTTTTCCCACCTGGAGCTCTGCAGAGGTGGAATACAGTACTGCAGTTCTCATCAACCCCAAGCACAATGGTAGCTGGGGATGATGCGATTTATAACCCAATACATCTAGAGATCACAAGGTGAAGAGGGGAACAATGGAATCTATGAGCCACGTTCCCTAATTTCATCAGATCTTGGCTGAATCATGCCCTTCAGAGCTTTTGAAAAACAGCAGTGGTCATGTAAAAAAAAATAATAATAAAGGGGTCAGGCCCCCTCCTCCCCTAATGTAAATATCAGCCACTGGATCTGGCTATGGGAACAATAAACCTGCTGATGAGGTACCTGGTCCACCTCACTTGATCACAGCTGCTCTGAGCTACAAAAAAGGCAGCTCCATTTTGGCCAAGGGTGTTGTACAAACCTAGTATAGTTAGTTCATTGTTCAATGTTGACATGTCAACTTTGAAAATTGGGTTAATTGGGGAAGGTCTGTGATACAAACAAATCCCTTATCTATCCCAACCTGCTATAGTTCTCCAGATAGCATTTAGGAGTTTTTCCCACTGGACCCCAAATCTTTACTAAACAAAAAGTGTTTTATCACTCGCTTTGGCCCTTCTCCTGGGGAAAAGGGGCACACACTGAGAACTCCTGCGATACTATAGATCAATGTTTCTCAACCTTGGCAACTTTAAGATGAGTGGACGTCAGCTCCCAGAATTCCCCAGCCAGCCAGACTGGCTG